ATATGCAAAATAAAGCAATAAAATAATAATAATATACAAGGAATGAACCTGGACCGAGGCTAATATTAGATACTATGTCCTTAAGACAGATTCGCCCCGCTATGGTGCTAACGGACTCAGTGACGCCTATCTCCCAGGATACAACGGTCTGCATCCACCAGTAGCAGCATTACAAACTCGTGGATACGGCGAACCTCCTCCGTGTAATACTCTCTTTGACTCAAAAATGCATCTATACTATATAAATGCTGAATTGGGTGCAATCCGAACCAAATGGTTCGGACCAATCTTAATATGGCTCGATGAAATTGGATTAGGGTCTAAGTGGTTCGGACCACTTAACCTATGATTTGAATCCACTTGGGTTGGGTTCAAGTATAGAGAAGGAGATAGAAGAAATTGAAAATGAAATGATTTGCAAATGATCCAAAGAGGGGTATTTATAGGCAACAAGGTGCCTTTTCGGATTGGGTGCAACCTTTTGGAAAAAACTAAAAAGTAGTTTTTAATTAATGTGCCTTTTCGGATTGGGTGTCTCTTTTCATCATTGGACACAACCATTTATATGTGTCTTTTCACACTGGACACATCCACTCCAATTGGTTGCAATGGTTCACATGGTGTCTGTTCATCAATAGACACATCCACTCCAATAGGTTGCAATGGTTCACATGGTGTCTGTTTACCAATAGACACATCCACTCCAATAGGTTGCGATGGTTCACATGAATAGTTATATCTGTTGGTTTTGAGTTGTAACCCTTTAGAAACAGATGCAACTCTTTGAAAAATAGATGCAATCCTTTATAAATAGATGCAATCCTTTGGGAAAAAAAAACTAACTGTTAATTTAAATTCAAAAACTAACCACCCATTTAAATAAGCCCAGCCCAAAATTAAAGGCCTAATCCAAGATTCCATTTAGTAAAAAGAATAATTAGACTTTACAATTAGGTCCAAGCCCAAGCCCAAATTTGGCTTATTTAAATTTCAATTAGTTTCAACATTTTTTCCATGTGGGACAAACACTTCCCACATTTTGCATACCCATTTAGGCTTATCAAAACACCACACTTTGGAGCTAATTTCTCATTCACCCGAAAACGGATTTGAGAAAGTAAATATACCACGTTCATCTTCTTGCGGAGAGAAACGCGCTCGTCTAGAGATCCACAAAAAATTATTAGCGGAATCTATTCCAAATCTTATCCAAAGTTTATATTTTTAATGCCCCCGTTTCCAACAATTAGTAACCTGAATCTCAGAAGATTGAATTTGGCGTCTTTGACTATTCCTACCACCAGATTCTGTGTTCTTCTTCCTTATTGATTCCCCTATCAATCATAATTCCTTTGCCCTTATTCACCACTTTATTCCATTGGTTATGTGCATTATCAGAAGTCAGACTTTCCTTATCCCCTGCGTATTTTATTCTCCACACCATTATTGGGGCATCGCCAAATTTCCTGCAGTGATCATATAGTTTTGGGGTCCATTGATATTTGAACATAACCTCCACTGATTCAGTTTCACCACCAACAGGTCTACAGATTCAGGAAACTTACATGTCAAATCTCTACAAGATCTTAGTGTGAGTTTCGCTATGCGAAATGGTTGTGGAAGTCAATTTTGAAATCACCTAAAGGGGACTGAATAGTGAAAATTGTTCCTTTATCCAAATTTTGAATTTTACTCATAAATCAAAATTAAATAAAAAACATAAAGCAAGTAATATAGTAGAGTTAGAGATGACCCCGGAATTTTTAACATAGAAACCCAATTACAGAAAACCATGGAGGCTTTAAAAGCTCGAGAGGAACAATCCACTATCTCTAAGCAAAGTACAACAGACCCTGACTCAGGCTCATATCTACTCCACTCTACCAAGAACTAGTTGTTGAATGCCTAGACTTGTGACTCCTCGTCTCCTTGTTGCAAACTTCAACTTTACTCCTTAATCAATTTAGAAGAGTTGCTGGAAGAACATGAATGCTCCGCGAACACTCTGTCCCCTTCGTAGTGATTGAATCCTCCTTTCAATGATTTGTAGATTAATAAAGAAAAACCCTTATTCGGCTTATTCGGAATGGAATTGATTGAATCTTCAATATGCTTGAACTCTGATTAGAATGAGAGCACCTTCCTAATTCACTCAATTGTACTAGTATATGCTCTCAAAGAAAGAAAAACAAATAGAACAATCAAGATGATTTTCTGCGAAAAATACTTTAGAAAAGGCTCTCAATTTACAAAATTGTTAATTTCAAGGCCGTAATGATTAATAAGGAAAAAGAGTATTTATATATGTTAGAGAGTCCTAACCTGAGTTGGAATATAGGTCAAAGTCGTACAAGAACTTTTCTTTATAGGGATGGCAACGGGGCGGGTTTGGAGCGGGTTTCCCTAAATTCTGCCCCGTCTCGTTTAATTTTTGGCAAGTTAATACCCGCCCTGTGCCCCGCGATGGGTTGGATTTTCATATCTATCCCTGCCCCGTTGGGAGACATTGTGCCCCGTACCGCCCCGCTAACAATTTTTTTTCACAATTATCTTGGCTGAGAAATTGATCTGGTGTGCCTCTCTGTCTTCCACAATTTTCTTGGTTGAATAACCCGAACAGAAGAAGACGAAGAATAGGTCAATCCCTTTGCCTCTGCCTGAGAAGAATAGATCAAATAAATTATAAAATAAGAAATATAATATATATATATATATATATATATATATATATATATGTAAGTATAAAAAAGGGAGAAGAACAACTGAAGAAGAATAGATTTACCTGCGTGGATCTACCTAAGAAAGAGAAACAGAGACTGGTGAGGGAGAGAGGGATTGAAGTCGAGGGTTTGGTTTTTGAGTTTTGACTCACTCTATCTTCCCTTGATGCGCCGCTCAGTTCACACATAAGGCTTAAGAAATTAGAGTTGTAAGAAATAGGTAACTGGGTAAGCCGGTAAAATAAGTTATTAATATTATATATATATATATATATATATATTAAATATAGTTATATGCTTAGCGGGGAGGAGCCCCGACGGATATGTATAAGAATCCTTACCCGCCCCGTGACTCGCGACGGGTATAAAATTTGTATCCATGCCCGTCTCAACGGTATAAAAGTTGTTCCCATACCGTTATTAACGGGGCGGGGTGGTAAAAATTGCCACCCCTTCTTTACACTTTTATCAAAAAGGGAAACTTTGAATTTTACAAAAATTAAAATTTCCTTTTAGAATCCGAGAAGTGCGACCGTCGGGCTAAGTAGGACCGGTCAGACTTTGGCAGTTTGCAACTTTGGGTTGTACTGTGTGACCAGTGGAAAAGAGTGGGACCTGTTGAATTTGTCTAGACTCTAGATTGCAATTTTTAAAGTCTAAAACCCTAATTGCAACCTAGTCCAATTTAAAATATAAATGTGCAATGTGTCTATTCTCATTGAATCGAAGTATACATGTAGTTCTGTTTCCATCATTGAGACTCAAAATAAATAGAAAATTACAACTCGATTGGACACGTTTTGACACCGAAATTAGCTTACAAAATCATATATCTCACACTCGTTAATGCCTCTGTGATTGAATCTGCATACAGAGGTTTCCCAATGGCATTAGGGACACAACTCAGGCAGGCCTTTTTCACACTAATTAAACTCATGTTTCGAGTCCACTGTTTCAGAACCAGATAACAGTTGGCAAATTTCCACGGACCACCCTCTAAGATATTCCTTACTGCAGATGGATCAGATAATGGGAAAAGGAAAAATCCATTGCTATGTTGAAGAACATCAAAAAGCCCAAAATGACCCCATAATTCCTTCACAATCGACTTCGCCAAAGTAAAGATTACGCCAATAAAATGCTCAACCAATGTGTTTTCCCATCTTGATATGCCTTCAGTACCTCCAGGAGGAATAATTTTGAAACAATTATCTTCAAAACTAGGGTTAATGAATTCCAGAATCTGAGCCTCAGAAGCAATAACAGAGCTCCAATATTTACCAGCAGAAGTTGGGTTAGATGGACATTTAGGATTAACTGTGACAGCTGTAGTTAATGACCTCACGTGAGAGACGTGAAAAATTAACAGAATGAGTTATGTTCATGAGCATTGTGGCATGTATGTGAAATCTGCTAAGATGTTCTTTAGCACTTGTTTCATGTTCTCTGCATCCATTTGTGTGTGCATGCCGATGTGTGTGTAATCTATAGTATTTGCTTGCAAAGCTTTTATTTATGTTGTCATGTATTGCTATTTCGTTTGAGGGACGGATTCATTTGATATTTTGACAAAATCCATAGTTTCACGAACTAGATGTTAAGTGGAGAAAATTGAATTTGTTTAATTGGAAAAAAATTAAACCCAATTTGTTCTTGCATTTTCGTCGTTGTTACTTGAGGACTTAAAACCCATAGCTATATTAAATGGACTCATATACGAGTAATGGATGTGCCACATGTCTAAGCATTGGATTTATCAAATTCCCTATTCCCAACACATGGCATATTCTTTTCTTTTTGTAATCGTCTTCTTTTATTTTCTTGGCGGAAAAAATGTTGTCGTGCAACATAATGTTCAAAGAAGAATGCCACTTGTTTTAAAGCAATATTATAATAAAAAGGAACATAATAAGAGAGCTTTGTGGAAACTTTTTTATTGGATATGTTTACTAATTGCATGTCAGACACTGTGTATCTTGTATCCATACCCGTTCCTAGGTGCTACTTCATGCTTTTTGAAGAGTCCATTTATCTGATATCCATATTTCTATACATGGTTTCAGGATGAAAGCCATTGTATCTTAAATTGTCATACCATTTCTTATTTCATTCTTCCTTTGTTCTTTTGTTATCTAAGTTATTATGTTTACAATTTAAAAACTGAAATTTGACTACTACTTCCCTATTTTTGTTACTTTCCCAGTTTGACTGATGATTCTCTTTTGATCCGTCTGGAGATGGGTCTTCGATAATGACTATGTTTTTTTTCCATTTTTATAGGTTGAATGTATCCTCCACTTATTCCTCCTGCTGATATTGGTGATTATTGGTCTGATGAAGGAATCATCAAGTCCTTGGAGGAGATCATATGCGGATCCCCTCTCCCAAACAACGTGCTTGCAGATGTAAATCCTTACCAGTACATGCCCTCAGATTTACCTGGTTAGTATCAGTTTTGTTATTTTAAGTCTGACAATACTTAGATCCTCACCAGTGAGGATGTATTCCGTTCTCACCGCTGATGTGTACCAATAAAAAAGGACAATACTTAAGTCCTCACCAGTGAGGATGTATACTGTCGTCACCACTGACGTGTACCAATAATAAATGGATATGTCATTTTTAATTATCAAATAAGAGATGGTGGGGGTACATACTCACTTGCCAAATCAAAGATGGTGGGTACATATACCATCTCTAATTTGGTAATGAAAGAAGTCTTGTACATTTATTATTGGTACACATAGAGGACAGTGTACATCCTCACTGGTGAGCACCTAAGTATTGTTCTTTTAAGTCCCTTAATAGTTTGTACTATTTGGTGCTCTACCCTCTCAATATTTTTGTTGTATCTCCACTGATTTAATGTTGAGTTACTATTTGAACTCTCTTGTCCTGATTATATAAGATTCTTACTTCATATAATCCAGAGGATTTGAGATGCACCTTCCCAATTGTAACTTTTTGTATTATATATTGTAATATATGGAGGTAGATGCTCTTATATCCTGATAAGTGAACTCGTTAGCTAAATGGATTCCCATTTACATATTGAGAGAGGAATGATTTCCTTTTTGCTTTGATACAAAATGGTAGTTTTTTTAACATATGTTTGTGCATTATTAAATGTCAAAAGTGCCAACATTAAATTTTAAGTCTGATCAGATAATATATTTTTGGCAACATTCGGTACCTGTTCTTATAGTTGATCATCTGCAATCACAATTTTGAGATTGATCTGATTTCTGGGTCAAAGCCTCAAGGATATGTATAGGTGAAAGTATGTCTCTATTTCAATCATGTTGGAAATTTACGCATTTGAGAGTTCTAGTGCTTGTTTTTAGAGTTTCACCACATCCTCACATCTGTTAGTGGGTATGTTGTGCAGAAACTATATTATTGGAGGATCAGCTTAAGGAAATGTTAAGAAAGCTTATGATGGTATTTTATACATGCAGTTGGCATTTGGTACTTTATACGCTCTAAGGAGGAGAAAGATGCGGAGTTTGGATTCTGGAAGACCAAAGGGGAGGCCTATGTGGTATCCACAAATTCTTCTATTACTGGTTGGAGAACTACTTTTGAATTCTATGAAGGTCGTGCCCCTCATGGACACAAAACTGATTATGTGATGCAAGAATACTGGATAACTTGGAAGGAAGCATGCGAGAGTAGCAAGCCAAAGGTATTGAATGCAAGCTGCTAGACTACAATGCTTATTTCCTGACAATTATTTTACTTTCATCCTCAATCCAGCCTACCTGTCAAATGTCAATTGCTGGTTTGGTTGGACGATATGCAGGAATCCCCTTCACTATGCAGAGTCCTTCTTTGTGATGGACGAAGTCCAAAGCAGGAAGCACGCGACAAGCCGGGGGGCGTATATAATGCTGGCGGAAACCACTTCAATTCAATGCCATCAGCTGTTCCAAATGCCGATAACCCCCCTGGACAAGGTCCTATAAGCAAATCCCAGGTAGTTCAATTCCCATTCAAAATCACTTGCAGCATTTCTTTTACGCCTTTCTTTCTGATGTGGCTGCTTCGGTTGGATTTTTCATCTCTTCTTTATACAACGTTTTGATATGCATATAATTACATATATCCAACTGATTTTGAATGCTTCTCCTGTTCATGTATGAGTTGCTGGCTTCTTATTTAATTAAGTGTAGCTTGCCCCATTATGACTTGTGATGCACCAACTGGTTATTTTCCAATGGAATGGTAGGTTGCGAAAGATTTATTTCATTTGTATCCTGATCTTTTGATTTCCTTTTACTAGATTCAGCTAGATTCTCCTGTCAGCTGGATAGATGTAATTATATGTCTAACAGGAACTATATCTTAGGTCACCTAACGTTGTAATTGATAAAAATATCTTGGTAGTATAATAAGATCTTGCATGACATGGAAAAACTTTGATAATGATAATATGAGTGTGGAACGGTTCCTTGAACATGGAATTGGCCCACAGTCCATTCTTCTGTTGGTTAAGTCTAATTAAAATAGTATAAATTCTTACTTTGATTTCAATAACTTGTAGATTAAGAGTAGGGATGGGAAAACAGGATCATTGACTGTGGCTGAGAGACTTCAAGATCTTCCTCTAGAAAATCTGGCTGAAGATGATTGCATCTTAAGTGGCGACTATTTGGAATTGAATGATCTTGCTGATCCAGTATCACCTTCTTCCGGTTCAGATATTTCGAGTTGTCTGTCCTCAGATGAACGTTTTGATTCATCATCTCTTCAGCGACAGCTAGAGGATGAAGTTAACCAAGAGTTGCAGGGGAGGAAAGCAAAATTTCAGTTCAGTGCCCTTGAATCTGTCCGACCAAACAAGATGGTTATGCACCCAACCACTTCAGGTATGTCAAGATTTCTTTTTAGTTCTTTTCATTCTCATGTTGCAAGTTCAATTTTTCATGTTTTAGTTAGATTTAGCCGTTTCATTTCTATCATCTCTAATTGGTTCATACTAAACATTGATTGTCGACTGTCTTTTTTGTTCTTCTTGTTCTTCTTTTTACTTCCCTCCTTATCTCCTCTTTACCAAACAATGAAGTTTGTTCCTTCCTTCCTATCTTCCCCTCCACCCCATATTTATTCCTTCCTACCAAGCAAACTAATACATGACTCTCTAGACCTAAAAAATTGAATCTACATTTGCTCTGACAGAGAGTCAAACATCCCACTGAAGTAACAAAATGGAACTTCTTAGGCGAAATCGTGTCAGAACTGTTAGTTGCGTGTTGAACTGACGTTGAACTGACCAAAGTGTCTGTCCTTAATTTACGAACATTAATTGAAATAAAAAAGAGCGGTAATTGTGAAATGATGTATTCACCCATTAAAAAACTCATAACCCATTTGTTTGAGACTAACCTCCACTTTACTCTTTCTTTTCTTTAGGAAAAAGATACATCCTCCGAATTTTGAGGTTTCCAAATGGGAGGTACGTGAGTGGGGGTGTGGTTTGCACCACTGATGTCATGTTGTTAGGCCCACAACCCTCTTTCACATTCCGCCCATTCGGTATATCCGAATTCAGAGGATGTATCATGACTCTTTTCTTTACTATCTCACTTTAATCCTAATGAGTGTGTATTTACACATTGACAGAAGGACACACTGGCCGTGGTTCCGTTACCAAACTGCACCGACTTTGCTTTGACTCTCATGTCCCTCTCCATTTCATTCTCTTCCCCTCAAAAGTTCAACATTTCGTTTTCATTCTTTTCTAATGTTAAGAGTAAATCCAGTCAAGTATCACATCCTTCAAGAGTCACTCACCGCCTCCACCACCACCACCACCACCACCACCACCACCATCATCATCATCTTCTTCTTCTTCCCTGCTAGCTAGGGTTTTCGGATGCCATTGAAATAATACTGCACTGTTCTGCATGTGTTGTGGAAATCGTCAAAATTCAACATGAAATGTCAGTTGATGCTCCTATATAGTCTAATGTAACATTCAGGAGTTAAATATCTACACATGGAATTGTTTGCCGTAGGGTGTAACAAATATGTTATTTTAATGTTTGTCTACAGGATCACTAAGTAGTGGCAAATGGAGCAATTTACCAACTGAAGGAACCCCGAAATCTGATGGTGCAGCTTCTGAGGAGATATTCCTTGACGAAAGAGTCCCGATACATGCTGTCGAAAGCCGGAAGGCAGAATCCTGGAGTGAAGGTACATCAAATTCCCATAAAGAGGAAGCATCATCCAGTAACCCTAAAGCTGTTTTGAAAGCGAAAAGGCTTAAGAAGTACATGCCATTCTAGATATTCTTTACGGACGACGCTAGCTATGTAACATATGTACTAGGATCGAGCACTGCAATTTATGATACTAAGTAGTCTTTGAGATTCCACTTGAGTTTTCTCAGTGGCATTGGCTTCTCTCCGAACTCTAGCACATTAATTAACTTATTGTACCCTTTCTTGTGCTTGAATAAATGTATATATATGTATGAATGTTGAACTTGAATTTCTTGGAAAGCTTTGTCAGTGATTGAACTGATCAATGGATATTCAGTCTATTCAGATGATCAATTAATTGAAAGTGGTCCAATGTAAAGATCGAACCAAGATTGTTTCCCAATGGTCAAACCAAGATTGGTCCAATGTCGATTTTTGAAAGAAAATGGTTGAAAATGACTGAAATGATGATTTTTACAATCTTTAAAAGGTGTGTTTAGTGAAAGCAAACAACGTTTTGTGGCGGATGCTATGGCCAACTCTTATCAATATATATATATTATGGTTAAAAGCAGCACCGCTGACAGTTAAAATGGCGGTTATAAAAAAGTTTTAGGTAGGAATCGTAGTAGTAGTTTTTTGAGTTTGGAGAATGCTCAACTTCCCATCCCACATCGCTCACAATAGAAAGTAGTTATCGATTTATTAGTGGTCTTCAAAGCACCCCACATAGCAAGTAACGGAGGCTTGTGACCCATGTGAGGGCAATAAGGTAATTGGAGATTGGTCTGGCTCAAAGTTGGTAGATGGACTGGGCTGGCTGGGGTTTTAAATCAGTGGCTTGCCCTGTCCAACTAAGGAGTTGGGCTATGAGCTTTGGGCAAGGCCTGGGGATGATGATCTTAAGCGGCCCTAGAGATGGGAGAGGGGGTGCTGCGTGGTTTCACAGAGAGCCAGCGAGAACCTCCCGCTCTCTTTGTCAGCGGAAGAGGGGGATATAACGGGCCGGTAATCCCCCAGATGAGCCGCTCCTAATCCCAACTATCCATATAATTTGAACGAACTTATATAATAAATATGGTACGACAAATTGCACATGGTATAGAATCGGATAGTCCTCAGCCTGTTTTAAGTTGTATTACATAAATACCCCACTTAATCCAATTAAAAAGACAAAACTAATCTCTAGGATTCTAACTAAAACTCATCATTTTGGGGGAACCATTTCAGACCATGCGACCTCTCCCTCTCTTTAGAACTAAAGTTTCGTATTTTAGCCCTTTAATAAAAGCTTATGTAGTTGTACTTAAATCATTTACTTGGTTTAGTTATTTTTGGGTATTCATCATAAAAACCGGACAATTTTACTTCATTCAGACCTTTAATGGTCTTTCCAAGGATTAAGGCATGCTCGGGACTGATTTTAGACTTCAAAGGATGAATAAAGAAAATTTCATGAAGTCACAATCGATCATAACTCCTTTATGATCGATCCTAAGTACTCCAACAAAGATTGCAAGTGCCCGAAGACGAAAAGTCCACTGCCAAGCTTACGATCGGTTGCTTCGGCGTACTGAATCGATCACAGGTCACTCACGATCGATCCTAAGTGCATTAGTCAGAAATCTAGGAAGCTGCGTGAATTGCATATTTTAATCCCTTCTTACCATAATTGAAGGGAGATTTTGGTAGATTAGAGCTCTAAAGAGAGATTGGTAGCTCACAGCTTCTCTCCATTGTTGAAGACAGAAGAAGGTGTTCTGGGCAGAATTGGCAGTCCATGGGGATGGCGTTTAACACATCATTGAAGGTTCCCTCCTTCTCCACGAGTAGCTAAATTCCCACTCAGGTTATTGATGTAGCCCTAGCCAAGTAACATGTGTTAATTGCTTTATTTTTAGGGATCTTGTATAGATTATGTATATTGATTATTTGGTTAAGAGCAATTGACTTACTAATACTAAGCAATTGGGTTTTAATGACAATAACCGATTTTTGATAAAATCTCTATCTTGTCTTGGAATCGATTTTATTTTAATCGAATTCAAACTTCTTTTATTGTGGGAGATTGGCGGTTAAGGACTTCTCTTAACGATAGTAGTAGTTATCATGCAATGGTGTTTAAACGAATGTGTGAATGAATAGGTTTATAGTTCATGCTTAGGGAAGACGGGTTGTACTATAAAGTAGATCAGAGTAGTTAGGTAGACAGGCTATGCCCACCAAAGATGAATTATACTTGGTGTTTGTTTACATATATCTCTCTTTATTTGAACTGGAAGTGAGCGTGAGGCCACTCGATTCTCGAATATATATAAATATGAATTTTCCCATAAAATACTGTAATTGACCATTTTATGAGGCTAATGGTAAAGTCAATCCCTAAGTTTCCCTTTTCTTGATACCTATTCTATCACAGCTTACTTTATTTTTTGTTTTTAGAATTAGTAAACATATCAAAATTCTTCTCTTAAATGAAGAACTGGTTTTACACTTAACAATTCCCCCACAGTCCGTCCTTGAGATTCTACACCCTTTATGTAGCCCTATCCTGCAAGTGATCAAGAAGATTAATTTTTGTGAGCATACCTAAAGGACTATAAATGTGTTAGAGATTCCTTGAAGATCTTGCAAATGTAAGATTATTTATTTAATTGTGGCCCACATGATTTGGACATGTGACAAATTACTTGGTGGGTAAGTAAATAGATATCAATTAATATTATTTATTTTTGGTCAACTTATAATTACCTTTTTGGTAATTACTTATTGGAGAAGTGTTTTCCTTTCTTATTCCTTACTTTGATGGAAAGTAGAATTATGTTACTATAAGGAAAATTGGTCCTCTCTCTGCCTTTATAAAAGTGCATATACTCCATCAATTATGTACAATTAATGAAACAACACGTAAAAGTTTTATGTGTGCAAAAGGCCAAGAGAGAGAAACCAGTTTCCACCTTTGCCTGTTGATCAGAGTTGCAGATTAGTTCGTGGCCAAAGGATCTGGACGTTGGACTTAATCTCAATAAGAATTGATATCATGAATCGAGGTATTTATATCTAACTATTTATTTATGCATTATAGATATGTGAAAATCATGAAGTTATAAGATTATGGGATTCATGTTTATTTGTGATGAATGGTTTAACACGAATAATTATAGTTTATATGTGGTATCAGAGCTAACGGTTTAGGAACTCATTATTTTTCATTAAAGTTGCATAAATAATATGTATAAATTTAAAATTAAATGATTGTATAATCCATTATTTTAGAATCGTATGTTTAGATCAGTCCGTGTGGTTTTTGGGTTTGGGTACCTCAATTTCCGAGCCAAAATTGAATTATGAAAGTTGATTACTGATACATAGTTTACATATGTGTAATAGTACAAATGTATGCATAATGTGTGTAAGACAAACAACTTCAATGCTTTAGGTTACTGATTTTCGTGCATGACTAATAAAGAACATTGAATTAAAATAATAATAATAATAATAATAATAATAATAATAATAGCATTTGTCTTGCTATTGTTTTATAGAAACAGTCAGTTGTGAAAGGATTACAAAGACTCATTATTATTATTATTTAAAAATTAATAAATACATAAAGTTTGTGTATTTATTTATTTTATTAAAGAGGTTTAAATTATTGTTATAAGTATTTGTCCAATGATTTGAAGATTCTGATTTTAATTTAAAATAAATTAAAATTAAAGTTATTGAATACATAAAATATATGTATTGATTTATTTATTTTAGGAATTTGAATTTCTAGAATAATTTGTGAGTTTAGAAATTTAATCTAATAAATTAGACATGCGAATAACTTGTTGTTTCGTACCCAAACATACATACATATTGTAGAATCAATTTTAAACTGATTCAATTATGATCTTTAAGTCCGAAAATAAAATAATATATTTTATTATGTATATAAAATAAAAAGATATTTTCTATGAAATTTCGGACTATTAAGTTTTTGAGATCGAAGTTGCTTAAACTTTAATTGACAATTATAAGTATGCGTGTATAATGTTAAATGGGTAAATTAATAATTAATTAATTACTAGTTAATTTAATATTCATATTATGTGTGGGTTAGTAGCTACCAAAGTGACCTAACCATAATGGCTGATGAATATTAATTTTAGTAGTAAATATAACTTAATGATGAATTAATTACTGTCTAATTTAATATTCATATTATGTGAAGATTGGTAGCTACTAAAGTGGCCCAATCATAATGATTGATGAATATTAATTTTTGTAATAGACATAATTAATCATAAATTAATTACTATCTAATTTAATATTCATATTATGTAAAGGTTGGTAGCTACCAAAGTGGCCTAACCATAATAGTTAATGAATATTAATTTTAGTAGTAAACATAATTGCAATATTTCATGAATTATGATGCTTATAATTTTTTGTGATATTCATGAATATTGATTTTATTTAATTATGAGAAATAATTCTTCAAAGGGAATTGATTTTCAAGTGATTAAATAAAAATTAAAGGGTCGTATGTATTTTTTTTTTTTAATTAGGTAAATATAGGATATCCAAAGGTAACTTATTTGTTTAATTAAATAATGCATCACCAATAAAGGTATACATATAAATACATGTAAGCATCATTATTAGTATTTTATAGTTGCCACCCAAAGGGGTACTATAGTTATACATTGTATTTATATTTTTAAGTTATACATACGTGTTGTTAACTCAAAGCATTACTGTTGTTAAGATTTTATCTTATTATATTTGTTTTATTATATCCCTTAATGTGCATGCTACATCTGTTCTGATTCTCAATATGACTAACTTCTCATAATGAAATGAGTAAGTTGAGTTCAAAATTTAGATGTGTTAAATCTTAATTTAACATTTTAAATTGAGAAACTTACTGTTATTACTGATAAAAACAGTGAGGAAGGAAAGATTCTCCATAAAGTTTGGGAGAGATCGAACAGATTAAACATTATGGTTATGCGAATAATTGTTCCTCATAGTGATAGTGCTAAGGAATATTTGATTATAAGAATGTTTTCGTGTTGTAGATAAATATCTAAAACGAAAATTATTAATTGATATAACTACTATGGATTTTTTGTTGGTACTCGTACCATGTATGATCGTATTTTTAGATGACTAATGTTGCTGCAAAATTGAGAACCTTATGGATGATTGTGAATGGGAATTTTCTTATTCAATTTATTCTCAATTTCTTGTTTATTCAGTATGGGTCATTTCGAATTAACACTATTAAGACAAGTGGAAAGTGATTTAAT